ACTTGTGCAGAGGGTGCAGAATGCCTGTGCGAGATTTTGCTTTAAAATACCTCCACGCGCTCACGTCACGCCGTACATAAACGAGCACAGTATTTTAAAAATGCAGTATCGTCGAGAACACCACCTAGCCACATTTCTATTTGGATTAATTAAATATAATATACCACCTTATCTATATCACAAATTAGTGTGGTCTCGCGACGTACAATCAAAGATCACTCGCTCGTCATGTTACTCTTTGGTTGTTCCCTACCATCGTACCATGGGCTTTCGTGGAAGTTTCAAATATTCTGCCTCTAAATGCTGGAATAACCTGCCGCCACCACTTCGTAGTCTGAAAACATTAAACACATTTAAAATTAAATATAAAGCTCACCTAATTAATGTTCAAAAAGCTATGGCGTGATATTTACGTACCTAAATAATTACAGACACTTAGCGCTGTCCGGTGGGTTCATATGAAAAGCACATGAGAGTGCATAGAACTTTTTTTTTTTTTTCATACGTAAATGCTGAAAAAAAAAATTTTTTTTTCATGCTATTAGTTATTGACTTTATTAAAATATTGTTTCCACTGATAAAATTGTTGCTTAAGATTATGATTATGATTACATACCTGTGAGAAAATATTTTTGTAGGGTACCATCATTTAGCATATCTTTTATATTATTTCCAACTCCAACTCCTCATAATATACATGACTCTTATGGTGATAACAACACTTTTTAAAATGTTTCGGACATTCTTTCCTTTCTTTTTTTTCATTAGATCCAGTTAGTTCATTCATGTAATTTATGTTAATTATTATTAGTGTTTGAATGACGGTGTGAACGTCCGTACGTCACTTAATTCACAGGCCCACTGAAAACCAGCGCTGTAGTCTCGTATTGACTGCAGCATTAAGCTGAGTGTGGTCTGTTTGCCGTATACGCCACACACAATTGTGTGCGTAAAATGTGTAATGTATTTACTTTTTTTTTTTATTCTTCTTTTTTTTCTTTTTAGTATGTATTTTTTGTTTATGGTTTAAATGTACATGTGGCGTATTTGAGCAATAAATGTTTTCTTTCTTTCTTTCTTTCTTCTTCTAAAGCAATAACATAGCTTTCTAGAGGTGAAAGAATTAAAAAAAAATCTGTTTAATAGTAAGTAGTCTTAGAGTTTATCTAGCAAATAGGGTTATATAACCAAATTATAAATAACCCCTTCCCAGGTTTTACGTACCCGTAGTAAAGTACCGTAAAAGTAACGTACCCAAAGGGTAAAACGGGATCCTATTACCAAGACTTCGCTGTTTGTTTGTCTGTCCGTCTATCACCAGGTTATATCTGATGTACCGCGATAGTCGGACAGTTGAAATTTTCACAGATGATGTATTATAACAACAAATAGCAGAAAAAAAAATATTTAAGTATGGCTCCCAGACAACGGACATGATTTTTGGCCGTTTAATAGAAGGTAGGTACAGAACCCTTAGTGCAAGACTCGGAATTGCACTTGGCTGGTTCTAGAACTGCCCAGACATGCTCTAAGGGATTGAGATCGGAACTACGAGTTTTACAATTCAAACATACTAACAACTACGCTTCCACATCGCAAGTCCGGTGGGGACTAGGGTCTTCGTCCATAGTAATTAAGTTTTTACCAAGAGACGCCAATACAGGTTGTGCGTGAGGAATTAAATCTTGCGTTATCAATTAATTATATTATCCAGTGTGTCGGTTACGATGAGGACTAAATTCGTACACTTCAAAGAATTTATTACTATACAAAGCATAACAGAACATTCACCACGTGATCTCTACAAAACTTAGCTCCGTAAAGCGTTCTTCTAGTCTTTGCAGCACTCGTAAACATTTTTTTTTTCAACGTAAAGACATCCTAGCTACACCGGAGAACAATACCCTATTCCAGTGTTCTTGAATCTATGGAATAACATTGCGAGCAGAGCTAATCTTGGTAGCTATATTGACAGGAAGAACTCCAGATCGTCCATGGACTAATTTGTATATTTCTTACTTCTTCGAGTTGTTGTTGAGGTCCACATACGAAGATTTGTGATTTCTCATCTCTTGAGTCACCAGAAAAATATCTGGCCTCATTTTGGCAGATTGGTTTTTAGGGTTCCGTATCTTAAAGGTATAAAAAGGAATCCTTATAATACCACTCTCTTGTAAGGCTATCTGTCTGTGTGTCACCACAGATTTTCTCAGGGACGGGTGGAGCTAGCAAGTTGAAATTTATACCAGATATTGAGGTCTAAAGTCCACATTAGGTGTATAAAAATGGTCCAGAGTCAACAGGATAAAAAATATGGACAAATTTAGATTTTCGCGAAAACTTGTAAGTACCAAAATTTATCTTAATTGTGAACTTTATTTTATATTTCGGACTTTTCCATTTACTTGTGCCGTAAGACCTTGCTTTTTACCAAATTTCAATAAAAATATGAAGTTGATTTATGTCTCCTACGCATCACTTTTAACTCATGTAATATTGATCGACGTCAGAGTACTGTTCAACTCAACGCAACCAAACTACGCCCTAATTACTTTTAACTTTTATTTTTAACGCAATAATATGAATACTTATTAGATATAACAAAATGGTTATAATCTATAAAATATATAATTATATGATATTTAATATTTTTTTTAGTGTCATTGTCATGATTTATATTTTGTTTCAATCTACCTAAAACTAAATTGGTAAAATAAATAAACAAGACCAGTGAAAAAAATTATGTGTTTTATATAAAAATAATGACGCTTTTTTATGATTTTTGTTAAATAACGATAAAAATACCGTTCATTTTATGTTAATAAAATTTCAATAAAGAGTGATACTTCTGGGTAAAAATAACTTACATGGTCCTCAAATGTGGCATCCACGAGTATGATGAACCGTAGATAGCGCTATTCTTTTTCTGTCTTACCTGTTAAGGCCTAAAGTTTCAAAGCTTATTAAGATCTACTCACTCCCTGGGTAGATTGGTAGAGGATGCTAATTGCCGTTGACTCCTCCCTTCGAAGCCCTATTTATGGGGGTTTGCAAATAAAGATTAAACAAATAAATAAATAGGATCCATCAGATTCCAAGGTATTTTGTATATGGTGACAAGTCAAACTAATCAGTTTCCTCGCGATGCTTTACCGCTGAATAAGTCTCACTAAAATTTTTAATTAACGATTTCTTTTGGCACCGGGATCTGAACTCAGTTTGTTGTCTGCTTGTTTGTTGCTCGAGTATATTGAATTAAAAGGGTCCGGACACAGCGCTATTACGTCTGTCATTCCTCTAACATATCGTAAGTATAACAGGTCCTCGCACACATGGCTTTACTCGGTCACTTTGATGCAGGCGTGGCAGTTGCGACTTGTCGCCATCGCAGGACTTACTTAAAATTCTGTACATTTTTATGTTCAGCAGCCTGGTGTTTTTTTTTTACCGACCCCTTGTGCTCTCTGATTATTATGTACTGAAGCTGGCATAAGGCCTCGCTAATTCGAGCCCCGGGGTTCTGGTGCCCATTACTTGGACGTAACCAACAAGGCTGGTCGGCGGTGAGGATGTCCAATGGACCAACTCTATCTCTCACCACGGTATCGGTATTTGCGGGTGTACACAGCACTACACTCGAGGTATAACGGGAAAACGACACCATCTCAGCACGTTGGAGCTGCGGTCAGGTTCGGCCCTCCATTGGCCTGTTCGGACCATATTTGCTCTCATCACATCGGGCATCTATCAGCGATGCGGATGTGGCTCGATGTTGGCTCTATCGTACGTGCAACGAGCCAACAGGACTGTCTAGCTGGTCCTATCTGGACTTGATCCTAATCACGCATATCACGACATTCCTGACGTAGCACCCCGCCCCCGCGATCGCTCGAGTTCTGATGAGCCTGGAGCCTGTCGTAGCTTGGATATCAGGATAGTATAGATATTATAGTAAGGCTCGGAAAACTGAATTGTTGTATAAGTCTGTGAAGCACCTTTCCGAATATTGTTATAATAGCTCAAGAAGCTTTCACTAAAATTACGCTATTCCACTGATTACTCTACACAGTTATTGAGTAAAATTGTTTTCTGATTTCAACCTTGAGTTGGTTGACTTATAATCGGACCTTTATTAGACTATACGATTCTCATAAAATGACATCTGTAATATTTTCACAAGTACCTTCCAAAAATTAAAAAACTTTTTAGGTAAAAGTATCACAGTTTCTTCAATAAACGCGCTTAGCTAAAGTATGATCAATTAAAAGCGATTTGGATAGGAATACAAAAATGCAGCATTATTTAAAGGCAAGTGATATATGTCGCACTATAACTTGAAACGGCAGTATAATGGTAGTATTAATGTCCGTACATCTCGGACCTGTTTAATACCGTCGATAAAAGCACTATCATCATGTCTCAAAATATTCCAAACAACATGTTCATGATAGCTCATGAGATTGCAGACTTACTCGTAGAAGTAAGTAACGTGAATAAAATATTTCACGAACGTTTTACGGTAACCGATTCCTCTGACACGAAAATAAGACAAAATGATGGTTTCATTATAACGATATGTCAAATTACTTGGTACTAGAGCATCGGAGAAAATTGATTGTCTTGGATGGAGCCATGCCAGCCATTACCGGAAGAAGCAGCGCGTAGTATTTCGACCAAGGCATACGACGTACCGTGTTTTTATTTTTGACTATTCTACATTTCATCCACATCGGAATTGCAACAAAGCTAGCGGGTTCCGCGAGACCATCCGACCGTGAATAGTCGGGAAAAATATACTTACACATGTATAAATATAACGTCGCCCAACGATAGTGATTCAGTTTTGCGCGATCGCTTGCAACAAAATGATGGTACGGACGGGGTGAGGGTCAGTACAACAATCAAACAGAGAAAAGTGAAGTGTCAATTGGTAATTGTGCAATCGGTGACGCATCACTGACTCGTAAGGCGACAATTAATTAGTCGCTATGAGGTGCAAGATGTGGATGCGTATCTTACTCGTGTTATGCTCGACCGCGCTCTCGATAGCTGATCGAAACTACGAAAATAACCTAACTAAACTTTGGTCCTTAGCCGGTGCTTCAAAGAGTGATGAATCCGCAGTAGTTAATGTGACTAGCGCGTCCATTGTTATACAGCCGAAATATGATAGCAGTCAAATTGTCTCCTCAAGAAAAACGAAAGATTTGAAAGGGACTTCCAACTACGAGTATGCGTTTAAACCCCACGCCATACCCCTACAGGAGGTTGAGCAGCAGCAGTTTGATAAGAATATATATTATTCACAGAACGATGTGAATGGCAAGTACAAATCAGAAATACTTTTCCCTGGTAATTATCACCAAATTGCCAAAGAGAAAGGTAATGAAGACCTTGTAAAGGCTTCCCCATATAACCCTTTGAATGAAGGTTCTTTTCATCCGATAGCGATACCGATAATTAGGAGTCCAAATTTTCAACCAAGATTATTAGATGAGGATGAGGAGCCTATTATAGAGAAACCTGAAGGATTTTCGGAACAACTCGCATCGGGAAGATCATTGTCATGTGAGTAATATTCATAATTCAAATTGATGTTACAGAAGACTTCGCCATTTAGCGTCACGAATACATTACTTTGTATTTTAGTGATTGAATGTGAAGTTAGATGATCGCTAATTTGTTGTGATACGATAGTTGTGTAATTTTGATTAAATTAAATTTCAGGCATCTTCTTTTTCGATGCATCATTATCAGCTAATTGGTCAAAATATGATTTATGTTGTTTCGAAATAGATTAAATTTGAAATTTTATCACCAATTTTCACTTTGTGCAACTGTCTAATAACAAATTATTGTGTTTGACCTTGACAGTGTAAGTATTTATTCGATTATGAATGTTTATTTTTTCATGTAGGTATATGTAACACAATAAATTTTTATTAGTCTCCACAAACAATTAACTATGTCAAATCTCACACTCTTTCTATCAAAGGCTATCGATGCACAATTAATATCTTAATTAAATAATTTAAACCTAATAAGGTGATTATAACATTTTCAGTTAAAGCTAACAAAGATTGATGAATTAAATTATTTTTATGAGCTCAATTTCTTTTTCATATTTCATCATATGGGTATACTAAATTATGCATTTACATTTATGATTTTTGTCTATTTATAAATTTCAAGATAGACCCTTATTCTTTTTAATCTGCAAGGTTGAAATTGGATTAATTTAATATTTTAAATTTACCTTATTTGCCATGGAAATAAATCCATTTCCATTTAATCAATTTCAAACGGGACACCAGCACTACATTCTCTTTACATATAAAAAAACGATAAGAATAATTTCTGATATTTGCAAAATAAAGTGACTACTCGTATTAAGTTTTGCACTTTTAGGTGACGATATACACACACACATATATATATATATATATATATATATATATATATATATATATATATATATACGAATATCGCCTATAAAATATTAGTTCGCAATAAAAATAAAAGAAATATACAAATATCGCATATTACATAATATGATGAATCGTTACGGTATCAAAACGTATTCTTTAGATCTACGGGCAATAAATTTAACAGTACAGAATTGGCATCAACTTGAAAAACTTCTAAATCCCAGCGAAAAAGCAGTGCAAACAAATTTGCCATAGATCCGATCTAATTTCGAAAATACCGGTGCAATAGCGAATTTCGCTCTATTATTATGCTCCGTTAAAACGTCACCGTCGAGCGCGCATCTGTCGTCGCTCTCGCCGAGACCCTAAATTTCATCGATACCCAACTTGTAATCTTTTCCGCTTGCAAAATGTAAATATCTATCATGACTTATAACAGTATCGCGTGGTCGAGGAGCCCACGTAGTCACGCCATGATTCAATGAACCTAATGACATTCGCGCTACTAAGCGTAACTGCCGTTCATTGGTTTCTCATTTTACTAACAAATTATTCATTTAGTGGTATCGATTTTTTCCGTAGCGATCGTGCACGCTATTTCATTAATGTTTCAACCGTAATTTAACTTTTAAAAAAATGATACGGTAATTTTATTCGAAATTAAAGTATTCTACGTGAGTTTTATTGCTACACTTTTTAACAACCGGAACGGTTCATATCATGCAAAAAATTATCTCAGATTTATTTGATAATCAAAACGCAAGTATAAAGTCTCGTTAAAGCTAAAGATTACGGTCAATTCTAATTATTATGCGATGTTGATTTTCTATTTATGGTAAATACAATTGCACGAACCATAAATCCAATGAAAATTGTTTCCACCGAATACTTTTAGTATGAAGATTTATGTCTGTACAAGCGTGATTCTGCCCTAAGTTTTTTGCTACAAGGATACAAGTTGACCTATAGTACGTTCAATTTGGACAGTTAACTTATTTAATATATTATACTAGCTACTGCCCGCGAATATGTCTGCATAGAATAGACTGAAGGCGTAACATTCAGACAGAAAGACAGATATACATAAAATATGTATATAAATTATAGCCTGTCTTATTCTGATGTATAAACTACATTATTGTAAAGTTTCAATAAAATCCATTCAGTAGTATTTGCGTGAAAGAGTAACAAACATCCATCCATACATACAAACTTTCTCTTCCTCCCCTGCCTTTATAATATTAGTAAGGATTAGTAGGATAAAATGGTATACATTTATAGGCACACCGCTTGAGAACTTCTGGATCGACTTGAATGCTTTCTTTTCATGAACAATAAAAATAAAAAAACAAAATAATAAAAAAAGAAACGGAAAAAATTAAATCGTAAGAAAAAAGTTTACTTTACTTACATGTATTTCCAATTGCTCTTCAAAAATGATAACTAACACTTTCATTTAAACTTGGACTCTTACGACGAGGTCTAGTTTGAGATAAAAACTAATATAATTTTAAAATGATTTAAAAATGATATACTAAAGGTACAATGATTTTATATACTCACTCAATTACTATACACTATTAAATTAAACTAATTTTAGAACTTTTGAAATTAACGTAGATTTTAAGGCTAAATCGATATTCAGTGAACGTAATTATAATTTATATTCTTAAAATAACTGGACCCTTTTTACGTTCCAGATGTCTTAGGGGCCGAGGATGACGAGGAGCCTGAGGAGGAGGAAGAGGAAGAAGAAGACGGGGAATACGACGTAGGGGAGGAAGCGGATAAACACAAGCACGGTTATACTCACGACAAAATCAAGAAAAAGTTGAAGAGAAAAACGAAAAAGATGACCAAGTACATGATGCCCTTACTCATGGCATATAAACTGAAATATTTCGCGCTGGTACCAGTAATGATAGCAGGACTAATATTGCTGATAGGAGCGACAGGGCTCGCGGGATTCTTCTTCGCCTTGTTCGCGGCAGTCATGGGACTGCAGAAAGGAGGTTACTGATGAAATAAATAGAGTTGACGAGTGCTCGCAGATGCCATTTCAGATAGGTTAGATAGATAATAAAATCAACTATATTCGATCTACTTACTCAATATCATTCAAGGTTGTGACTCAAACGCTATAATTTTTTTTCTAGTCTTACAAATCAAGGGACAATTCTCTTTTTAAACTGAAGGGCTTGTTTTTATCTGAATCAACTGTTTATGATCGTTTCCATAGTTCTTTCGTTTTGTGAATTGAATATTAGACTTATAATAAACTGAATCTTAGGACGAATACGACTATTGTAAATAATTTATGTATATTTTTAATATTAAATAATTTTCGATATAATTCAATAGAATTAAATTATTTATTTGTAGTTAACACGTTTAGCTTAATTTACTAAAAAAGCATAATTGTAGTTACCATTGTTACTGTACAGTTTTATAACACACATGTCGAATGATATAAACTTTATTAGAAGATTGTTGTGTTTTGCTGAGTATAAGTTAGACACCTTTTGCAATAGGTAAAATGCTTTGTATCCAGGGATGAACTCCATCACACACATAGTTAAAATATTGAGTACAGATAATTTAAATCGAGACGAATAATTTGCAATAGACTAATAATTTTGATGAAAGATAGAAATCGTCTTAGCACATTAAGTTCAGATTTTATTTTGATAAATCGAGACGTAAAGCTAATCTTTGCAATAAAACTTATAATTTTGATGAAAGCATTCTGTGCGTCGTCAACTTACTATCGTCTAGGTAGCAGACATTAAGTTCAGATTTTAATTTTGATAAATTAAATAAGTAAAGCTAATCTTAGTGAAAACTAAAATCTTATTAGAAACGATAGCAATAGGACGAATACTTTTATCTTCTTTCATAAAGACTCATAATCTTGCCACATACAAAAATTAAACAAATTTAAAGTTTACATTTCTGTAAAGTATTAACTGGCATAGTTTTGTAATGTCATTTAGAAGTGCATTTCCAGCATCAACATCGGAATCGCTTACAAGATCTTTCAGATATTGTAGCGTTATTTCACGATCGCCGCCTACAGAACCACTTGTAAATGATATAATTTATTTGAAAAAGAACACCGATTTATCGGCAATTTACCTAGCTATTGAAATTAAAAAACACCTTAATTTCAATAGAGAAGTAGGGTTGGTACTACCAGGCAGCTTGGGATCCTAGAAATAAAATAAATATAAGCCCAAAAAAAATATTGACTGAAGAATGCTAACAATCGTCAATATCAAAAATCATCGTGTCTTTTTTTCACTTCTCATTATAAGTAAAACAAAAGTAGAAAAAGCCGAAAATAAAACGCGAGATGCTTTTTTTAAATTACGATCTATCAGTTTAATTTGGCTATTTTTTTTTCCTCAAATCGAATTTACAGGGAGGTTTAGTTAAAGTTAGTTATATACTACTATTAAAAAAGGTTAAATAATTATTCATAGGTTTAGTTCAAAAGAAAACATTCTTCAAATGTTTACATTCCTGACTCGGCTCTCAGAGGATTTGTGCTTGTTAGCTGCAAAAATATACTGAAATACAGAATTATAATTATATATTATTAAGACTATATAAAAAAAATAAGTCTTAGATTTTTTACACTAAACTTTCATTGCTTTTAGAAACATAATTGTCGTTGATAAGTGATAAAATAAGAAATTATCGTAATATATTAATATCGTATAAATTAATCGTTTATAAGTGATAAATTTGTATTATTTTACTCCAACTTTATATTGTAGGTTGCGAAGTAGAAAACTCAAGTCAAAAGTGGATATGATTTTACTATCGAAGCCTACATAGAGAAATCACCAAATTAAATTTTACAAGCACTAAAATTCTCAAACTATGCCAGTTTAATGTATGTGGCATTTGATATAGAAAGGGTAGAGAAAATATTTACACTCAAAAGTTGACTGCATTAGTTTTTACTTAAAGAATAATATTAATGAGATAATAAAAACTATCAGTATACCCAGTACCGTTACCTGAGTGTCCCACATTGTGGAAGGGAGACAAAAATTCACTGTGCTCTCCCACTGCTCGAAGCAAAGGTAGCAAGTACACTACGTCATCACCTACTACCATGGAGCTTTATAATATCAGGCAAAATCTCTCCAATATTGATGACTTCCACTAAAGTTTATATATCGGCAAATACAACCTTACTTACTCTTACTAAGTTACTTTACAGAATTTACCTTTCGGACAATATATACTATCTTTACTGCTCAGGATAAAAATAAAACATTATTTAGTGCCGTATACCACACATACCGTACCTTGTGTACATCAGACGAAATGATTTTTCCCAGACGCACTTATGCTTAAATTATAAGTTATCAATTGTCATCAACAATCTGGCCAGAACCTTAAAGAAAAACACTAAAAGCCTTTCTAAATCAGAAACGCTTTTACAGGTACTCTGGTGCTGTGATCGTCCATGGGTAGCAGTAATCACGTACCATCTAGAATACCTTTTTTACTAAAGGCTTTATATAGAAGAAGTCAGGCAATAGCAAGTTCATGAGTACAAGTAACAATTGTTTTGATTAATTTATTTACAATATTCCTCATTATTAAATTACCTATTCTGATACAAAATCATTGGATAAAAATTTTAATACATCAACGATTTCAAAATTAGATTTCAATTAGATTTTAGTATTGCTGGCTTATAATCCACTTTATGTATTTGACTTGTGAATATGTATCTTTCCAAATCACTTGACGTAATATTATTAGTACCTAAACAGTTACTCATAAACTTTCTAGAACTGCCACATTAGCGGCTTTTAGTACTAAACCTCATGACCCTCGATTAAACAGAACGCTTAATGGCGTACGATGAACTAGTTGAAGTGATATAAAACAGTGAAACACCTCTAACCTCTCTCATAGTTATGAAAGTGCGGCTTCAGGAAACATATCTCACGGAAAGGACCAGTTTTTTTGCGAATGCCACGTGGCGCCTTAAATTAACTGAAAACAACGCGTTAAATAAAATTTAACTTCATTTTAATATGATACCTCACCCAGCTGAGCTCGTGCTAGGTAATACACATAACTTTGATATAGTTAAGTCGGAAAACTATTTTGGTTTTGGTCCACTGAGTGAGGAAAAATTTGTAAACGCTAGCCTCAACAACGAAACACATCTTAATTGGATTTTTACACATGCTCCTAATGAGAAAAGATCGCTACAAGGTACGTTTTGGGCACTATTACAGTGCCTGTTTTTTTCTATTATTGACACCATCTACAAAACATCTCCAAACATTATCATTCGAATCTAATCATGTATTTGATTAAATTTAGTTTTTGTTTATATATTTAAGTTCAATTAAATTTAGGATTCGTAAGTTTTCCCGTTACTTTTGCTTACGATTCTAAATATAGTTATTCCTAAAACATTTATATATACAGGTGAACCTCGAAAGAAAATCAAAAAGAAGATAAAGAACGGGATCGATAAAAGGTCTAAGAAAAAGCACTCGCACATGGGCAAAGTGAAGAAATGCATTCTGAAGGTGTTCAAGAAGAGTCGGAAGAAAAATAGACGAAAAAAATACGGAATACACAGTAAACATATGCTACCTTTGATCATAGGCTTATTAGCAGTGAAAACTCTAATAATTCCAATTGCATTAAAGGCCTTAGCTTTTATTACCGCCAAAGGTAAGTATCAAGAAATATATTTATTTTTTATTTTTTATTACTGTTGGACAACTAGGCTTGTTTATCTACAATAGTATCACTTCCAAACAGACAAAGGGAGAGTGGAAATATTGTACATCATCTGGTGTTAGAGGTAACCGGTGAAATCTTTAAAACGTTGATTACGCATCTGCAACCCATCTGCAGGGGTATTGAAAAAGTCTGCAGGCGGCAATAATACTTAACACCAGATGTGAAGCCTACTTCCTTGCCACCCTCTATACTAAAAAATAGAAGCGATCTATAAAATCTATACAAATAAATGCAAAGAAAAATTATTGTATTAATTAGTTTTGCATATTGTGATATTGTTTGGTTTTCGTGTTTAATTTGATTATTCGAAAAGCTAAAAAGCAATTTTAATAGTATTTTAACGAAGACATACTACTAATTTGTTTAACTGCTGCTCTTCCGTTTGTACGGGGTGTACCCTTCACAAAATAAATCTACAAGACTTTTAATATTCACAGCTGCTTTTAATATTAAGCTGCTTTGATATAGCGCGTAAACATTTTCGTAAAGTGTGAGTCAATTTCTTACAGGTCTCATGATGGGCTTCTTTTCTACGGCCCTGGCGTGGATGCTTAGTCTCAAAGGAATATTTGATCATTCACGTAGCTACCAGAACCGCAAAGATGATACAAGGACCCAAGTGGAAATAATTAAAGTACCTTCGAAGAACGATGACCAAATGTATTATGACGAGCATTTTAGTAGAGGGGACTACATACCAATGATATACCAAAATATTTAATGCAGAGAAGAAGATTATTTATATAAAAGTAAAGTAAAGTAACAGCCTCTACAGTAAAGTAACAGTCTCTACGTTGCATTATTTATATGCATGATTAAAATTAAATTAAATAATTTAATTAGTACAAACGTAGTTCGAAATGTATTATTAAATGTCAATAATAAAATAATCAAGGGCGATAACTATATCAATTATTCTATTGATTTTCGGATTGATTTTTATTTTTAGTTTTAGTCTGAGCATTCAAGATGACACTTTAAATTGTTGTTTTTTGTAGATAAATGATCAAAATCTTGCGGCTGTACTAGATAATCCGTCGCTTAGCTTAGTTGGTTAAGCGAAACCAGAAGACGCAGGTTTGAATCCAGCAGTACCGAAATTTTTCTTCATTTATCTGTAATAAATTACAATTTAAAGTTCTATTTATTTGTAAAACAAATAGCTAAAAGTCTTTATTAAGAGCAATATAACAAAAACCATTTTTATTGAACTCTATCGAGTTTTAACTGAACTCTGTTTTCAACTGAGTTGTGTTGTAGTGTGGGTTCGATTCTAACACGGTAAAATAATTTGTATGGCCCTTAATCCGTTGGTCCGCATCTGGATATTCTTTTTTTTTTGATTCTGAATATTATTTAGTGCTGGAATTAGTTGTTAATAAAGAAAGAAAATCGAAAACGAAAAAAAATTGTAAATAAAATATATTTGTACAACATCGCTCGCTCGTATGCATCGCAATACTTACGTAACCAAGGAGAGCTTTTTATTACGTAGACTTGGCTTGGATAGTTCAAATAGAAAGTAAGGTATCGACTAGTTCATTGTCATGACCTTGAGACGAGCAATGCTGGTGATGTCCGTTTAAGGTTAGTTCACATGGTCTTTAGAAAAATTACAGTTGAATTTGATTTTAAGAAATAGTTGTATAATTTATTTAACTTAAATATAATTATATGTTAAGTAGAGGTTGAATTACATTTCAGCTCTACAAATAACATAATATGTCGACGTTGATTGCAACTTATACTATTGCAACTACTATAAAACAACTTAAACAATCAAAAACAAAAAAAAACAAAACTTATATTCAATAAATTATATATAAAGAGTATATAATAAATAAAGGGCAAGAACAGTCTATTTAAAAAAAAGAAGACGATGATGACGATGAAAAATGACGATGAATGCTTGAAATAAATTGAAAATTTAAGTAAATTAAGAAATTATTTTAAGTTTCTATTTCTCTTACCTTCGATTCAATATCTATTTTTAAAGCTAATTTCACAATAAGCAGAGTAGTGTGCATGAAGCTTGTTGTATTGGAGAAAGTCGGGGGATGTCCTTGACCCGTTTATAAGATGAAAAAAGTTCGAATGTACTTTGGAGAATATTGCCCTAAGAGCAACGACTGGAGCTCACGGTTAGTGACCTTTGGGGCTCCTATTTGTTTATCAATGAAGTAAAACGTTTAAGGCATTTTTATCTAAAATTCACTTCCTAATTAGTTGAAATGCTAATCGTTTATTAATTACTTTTGTTAAGAACACAAATATAGCAATAGCTGTTCGAAAACAATTTTTAACATATCTGTCTTTTTAATAACGTAGTTAAGGTTTGGATATATTTTACTGCTGTGACTTCATATTGTTTGAAGTACTTTCTATATTAGTGCTAAACTACTATAGGGCTGCTCGTTGGCGACGGTCCTCTCCAATCGCCTCGAGCCTTTGACCTTGTGAAGAGATGTTCTATCTCTTTGCGTCTTTTATCGGATCTATCACCGAAGGTGCTCTGAGGAGCTGTTCAGATTACCTGAATTTGCACACCGTACGCGCATCCAACTGCCGAATACCACCTTGATAATTGGCGAAACTCTCTACCATGCGCACAAGCAAGTTGTTGAATCAGTTGTCGCCAGCGGTATTTCCGCACTAATACTACTTAGGGACCTTCTAGAAGAGAGCTTACACCTTCTACAAAGGCCGGCAACACGTTTATGACTCCTCTGGTGTTGCGAGTGTACAGATACCACCAGTTGGTCCCGTGCACGTTTTCCATTTTTTAACATTTTTTCTTAGACTAATAACTTTAAGTGCATAAAACGAAGTGGCCACACAAAGTGCTCGTCACACTAAAACTAATGTTGGAAGTTTCCAGGGTCAGTGATATAGTTCCAAATTAATTGCTTTGGACAAATTTTAACGAATTGACATAAACTTAGTGAGTACTAGAAATCATTGAGATTTATCTAGCATGGGGTAAATTTATCGAGTGACATAATATTGACCAAAATATTTTTTACTTTAATAACGAGCTAAATTTCCATTAAGATAAATAATAAAATAAATCAAGTTTTAACTCATAGTTTTACATCGGTCAGCGACCCTATTAAAACACCATCAATAAATGCCTGGCCTAATATTGCATAATTTTTTTTTTACCCTGAGTCCTAGCTGAATTCCATCTTTCCTTTCTCTTTTTGAGTACGATTTATAAACAAACTGATAGAGACAAATTTATTTGACGGCACAGAATGCATGAATCGCCCTTCGCCTGCCAAGTGTTACGATGGTTTCGCGTAAATGCATTTCACTCGATCATAAAACAAAAGTCATTCGACGAATTTAAATCTTCATGCAGAACTGAAAATTGCACAAACCACAAAGTACACTAAAACAATAATTAGACTGTTTATAACGGTTACTAATATTTAGGCGTATCATTGTATTCTTTTGAACACGGTTCAAATTGTTCCGAGTTGCAAATTAATAACTTTTAGTTTTCAGCACTGCTGATTCTGAGTGAAATTCCCATCCAGGAATTTTTTGACTCGGTACGACCAAAAATTCACTCCAAATCTGAAGGTTTATCAATGACCAACGTGTATGTAAAATTCCTTAACAGCACAAAATAATCTTATCCATGGCGAAATATAGGAATTTGTACCAAAGTTTATAATAGGAAACATCTATTCTATTGAAACCAATGGAAAACCATGAAAATAAAACAATATATTTGACTGAATATCCGTTCTCAATGAAGTAGGACTACATTATTATGTTATTCCCAATATAGCAGTCAATACCCACAGAGTTTGTTAAGGAAAGTTATTGCTTTTATGAAATATATACTGTACTATAACTATATATACTACACTTTAAAAATTTTCAGTCATTACATTTGAAAGTCATAATCCACCGCATACTCATTGTAGAAAAAGAACTTCACGCCTTCTTATTATTCAACGAATGGCTGACATTGAGTCTCCAAACATATGAATGAACATAAACAGGAACGGACGGAAATTTTTTGATACTAGTAAACAAAACCTTAAATTTAGATTATTCAGAACTGTAAATCTATACACCTTTTGATAAAATATGAAATTATTATTACATTTCACTTTTATCTATAAGGCATAATTTTTTTTTTAAATGTTTAGTAATAAAAGACTAAGGGGTTTATAAAGAATAAAAATAAATACATAATACAAAAGAATAAAAAGTCTTAATTGTCTTCTAAATTTTATCATTACACTAAATTCAATCGATTTTACTCTAAACTCTTGTAGATCACTTTCAGTATCAAGATCACGCAACCCATTGTTCTGCGCAGCCTAATCCGTTGGATAAGTATCACAGGTATCATCCGTCTTCCCTCTTAGTATATAAGTGCGAGTATCCCGGGCGCCCGTCACTTTGTCCTCGACCACAGCCTTAGAAGGAGGCCCACCCGACCCATTTAGGAAATAAGTAGACTTGTCAGATCAATATGAGAGTGCTGTGTGCTATTCTCTTCATCGCCGTGGCAGCTTGCAGCGCAGCACCTGGTGCGACGGATGACGATGGCAGGATAGAGATTTTCACCGGCGTGGCGATAGAACGGTGAGTCTTCCTTTTTCCTTTGTACGCAGGTTTTCTCAACGAAGTTGTAGCGACTCTTACTGTCAACTAATCAGCTGCCAAACGGCTTTTCAAATTTCATTTTAGTTGCCAAAATGATGGTTAAACTGTCTGAATTTACCAGAATGATCCTATTATTGATCAGAATGATCAATTCAAAGAGTTTAACCACCCTTTGGCAACTAATATGAAATTTGAAAAGCTGTTTGACAGCTGATTATTTGACATCTACGATGATCAATGTTTCAGACACCGGGCGTTAGTGTTGATGAACAACAATATCGTATCGAAAAAGCTGTCTCCTCACAGGCAATCCTATAAATCTTAATTAAATAAGTACCTACTTATAGTTCAAAAGTAAACAACTATGCGTAGTAGTAAAAATTTTTGAAAAGGCAAAATTTGTGTTTTAATATAACATTTATCTACATGCTGTTTATAGCTTTTTCAAAATATAGCGAATGTTTGTCACTACATTGAATATTGATTATTATCGTCTATCTAATGACATTCACATGATAATAATCATCAAAATCGGCCCACCCGTTTAGTCTATACAGCAAAACAAAGAAACATATACAGCCTCATAAACACATTACCCTCCTTTTCGTCGCGTGGTTGGCTAAGATTGATTAAGAAGATGATGTTTAAATCCGCCAATACACTTTGTTATCGTGTGGTGGCCTATGTCCTAATACACTTTATGAAAACAGGGTACATTAGGCTATTACTGTACTATACACACAGCTGAGCAAAGGAATCCTCTGAACAGTGGGTATTAAAGGCATATTCCACCTCGCGATGATTGGCAAACATCGTCGAATTTTTTTTTATTACTTCAAAAGAACTTTCTTTTTTTTTTTTTTTTTTTGAACTTTCTTTTTTGTTTGACAATATTTTTCTTTACCGATGATAACGTATTAAGTCAGCACTTAAAATTGCAATTAACAATATCAATAGTGCCAGCACTGGGAATTCAACTCAGGCTGCTCGAGTATAATTAATGCAAGGACATTGAGCTATCGCGGTTCATTAAATAGCCTTCAGTTTACGCAATTAGTCATGACCCCAAAAATTTTAATGTTTAATTTTATCTTCATGTACTTAAATCGAAAGCAATCATTTCATATAATGTAATTTAAAGAATCAAATTAAAATATTTTCAACAATTTGTACAAAAATGATATTTATTGTACGATCAGCTTTAGATTGTTGTCTACCCCTACGCAAGGCAAGTCACGCTTGATAATTTTTAATAAAACTAGCGGTCTTAACTACTACTAAATAACTAGCGTTTCGAACTTGTCATAATTTAAGCTGTAGTTGAAATGTTCATGTTTCTGTAATATTCTCCTCGCTTTATCCTTTAAACGAGCAATTCTTGTGTATATATATATATATATATATATATATGACCTTTTATCCCTGTTTTCAGGGAATGAAAAATATCATTCAAATATGACGGTAAATTTCGCCGCAAAAAAAAAAATGTTATAATAGCTCGGTCGGTAATCGGGCGGCTCCAAAACAGACGGCCGCGGTTCGTATGACGATCATTTACACACTTATTTTTTTTTTTTTTACTTTTTTTATATACCAGATCATTGCTTTCTTTATTTTTTATTTTTTGTCGATCCAGATGATTTCGTTATTTTTTTCCCTTTTTTTAAAGTCCTTTGTGATTTTGTTCGTTCATTGTTTTTTTGTTCGTTCTTATTATTACGTCGGTAAGATCAAAAAATATTATGCATATTTCATTACTCAATAATTTGTATCTAAATGTAATTTCCAAAATACACGATTTACCAAAAAAAAAACAAACCTAGCAAACTCGGTCCTCCAGGTACTTTATCTTAAAAAGTGAGTAAAGTATCATTGTCAAGAGTTTTTAATGCTTTCATTTTTCAATACTGTAATATTACATGCCTTTATATGCATACAACTTTCGGTGCACATTGTTTTTTAAGGGATACTTAAAAAAACGTCTACCAAAAATTTATCCTGTTTTTTCATCCTAAAAAGAAGTTTCACGGTAAATGTTAAGTGTAATTTCTTCTTTAAAATAACCCAATATAATGAAATCGTATATTAGTTAAGCGAAATAAGCTTTAGCTACTTATCTCCGGAACGGCTTGGCGGTGCCAAACGAAAAGTCTAATCGCAGCTTGCTTGTAATATGTTATCTGATTATCTCTACGACTCCATTCAAAAGCTCGTCACAATAGAAGGATTATATTAACACACAATCAGAACGATTGTGTTAAGGTGGATAATTTCCAATGGAAACATTATATACTTGGCAGTAAATGTTTTTTATTAACACATACTACTTTTTTATGACAAAATTTGTCAAGTGAGCATGCGAATGTATATAAGTATGCAGTTGACAGTCGTAGGACGACGCAACAGTGTTCACTGTTGCACTAATGGGCAGGTCCGTCCGGGTAAGTACCACGCCCTCACAAAAGACCGGCGCAAAGTAGAAGTGTTACAACTAATCCGTTTTGTCTTGCGAGTGAGGTAGCCCACTTTATTTAAAGGTGGCAACGCATTAGCAATCCTACGGGAGTTGCAAATGTCCATGGGCGGCCGTTATCACTTAATATTATGTGAACCGCCAGCTCGTTTGCCACTTTCTCACATAAAAAAAATATATTTTTCAATTAATTTTTAAGTCTAGTTTTTTAATTGACAAAGTATTCATAACGAAATTTCACTATAAATAATTTATGGTGAAATTAGTTGTGAACACTTTTTTATAATAAATATTTTTTTAGGGATGCGAAAGGGGAGGAGAAATTGAACGTTAAGTTTGAGCCTGGAGAGCTACGTGAAGCTGCTAGAACTTTTGAAGAAGGCGAGTAAAAATATTTTATCAACTAAAACTTTAGACTACGAACCAGAAGGTAGCGTTGGAAGGCCTCCTTGTAGGTAGACCGATGACATCGTAAGAGTCGCGGGCAACCGGTGGATGCAAATGGCAGTATCGTTCGTTATGGCGTTCTAAGGGGGAGGCACATGATCAACAGTGTACGTCTTACGGCTGATGATGAGAATGTTGAAACTTTAATACTTTTAATGAATACAAAAAGATCATTGTAATATAAATTTATGTAGATAAATGGACAAAAACTTTCGGTCGCGGGATGAGAACCAGCGTCTACTGAGTGGTGCGTCCAGATCGCCATTTATTAAAAAAAGCACATTTCACGTTACATCTTGAGTGCAAAGACTAGTGAAAAATATGATCACTATGTCACTATTATGGTCACAATTGTGACATAGTGATCATACACATTTTACAAACTTCAGTTAAAATATTTATTACACACTAAAATAATCAATAATTGAATTTCACGCCTTTACTAATTTAGGCATATTATTCTTTAAAAGTCCATATTTTTATTACAATAATGAATAATAATTATATTGATCGTGTAAGAATTTTTCTGCTTGCTTTCAAAATAACCATGTATATATAAGGAAGTTTTAATAACTTGAAATAGTTACAATAAATAACACATTAAATTAACGAGGACAACCAACTACAAAAATTGCGAATCGTAACCTAATTTGCTTACAACCTATACCGTCATGAGCACGAATCGCGCATACAAACACACAATATTGAAAAGTATCCAAGGAAAAGAAAGTCAACGCGTGAGTTCGACGGCCAGTTACGTCAACGGGCGCAACGCTCGGTCAAGGTTACAACGTATCGGCCGCGGCGCGAGGCACGAGTGTGCGCGGGTAGTGTGGTACAAGTTATAAGATTACAGAAGGAAGCATTAAAACTGTGCAACAAAATGATTGAAAAATATTTTAATATGAACATACTATACTGTTTTGTGTGTAATAATAATATAAAATATTTCAGTGAATAAGCTCTCCTTTCCACGAAATACTATTATTAATCATGTTTTAATATATATTATATCACAAAAATAACTAATGAAATTTGTACTAATGTTTAAATATTTGTTCTAATATTTATTATATCTTCATTTACTTAATATTATAATTATAAGTTAATCTATTTAACTTATTACATAAATCTGATTTAATCAGCTAAATATATTAATTTGTAATTATACTTTGATCATAATTATATCACGTCAGCCATCCATAGTCTAGTGTTTCGGTCTTAGAGTTTAAATTCTAAGCTTTGATAACAAGGACTATGATTCAATCGTGCAAATAATTTTCCTATGTTAAATTTCTATCGGGACTAAGGTGATATTATAGCTTTCCAAAAGTTAAACTTCAATGTATTTCTCAGAACCGCTGTGGAGCACTAGACAATACCACGTTACAATATCTTAGTATCGGATTCGAATCCCAATTTGATGAGATTATGACAAGTTTTGCACGGTCCACCATTCCTTCCGGTCCAGCATTAATAGTGTCTACTTTGATATTTAATTGCCTTTTTACTTACTGCTTCTGGCATGTGAACTTTTAGCACGGGGAAAGATCAAGAAGTACACGCCTCTGCTAGCCGGTATTGGAGTGAAGGTAATCGCAGTTGTTCGGCCTCCTGTTCGGTGCCCTTACACTTCTGGTCACCAAAGCGCTGGTGGTGGCCAAACTGGCCTTCCTAGCGGCGGCGGCGTTAGGCCTCCACAAAATATTGAGTGGGGGAGGCCTTAACAACATCAGTGGAAAGGTTAGTTGTATAAAATGAATAGACAACGACCAAGAAAGTTTCACGCCATCTCTTAAGCATTTACCACAAAGATTCAAACGTATTTTATGGAAAAGGAAACAAACATGTCACTGATGGTGAGTGATCACCACCACCCATTCGCATTCGCTCCATCAGAGGAATGACTAGAACTTTCAAATACAGATGCATCATGTTGTTGTACACTCGGGCAGGTTCATCCGATGCTGTACAACGGCCTCAAAGAATATCGGCGTATAGTAGAGGTATTATCTCAAATTTGACTCGAAATTATGGCAAGTCTGGTGTTTAGCTACGGAAGAATAGAAGCAATAGAGATTGTAATCTTTTATGTGACCAGTGATATGAGAGACATAATAATTTCATACACGGGACTTTTAGAAGTAACCAATGTTTAATATTATTTATGTTAGTATATTCATTTATTAGTGACATTTATGTCGAAAAGGTACTTATTTTTCCGGTACCTTTTGTGATGACATCAAAAATTTGAATTGTCAATGCCACTTCAGCGTCCCTACCCGTAACTTGCTCCCAACCACCAAACGTTAACTGGAATAAAATGTTATTTAGCACTAAGCACGCCTTTTTACAAACTTTTCGGTGCAATAAAGAATTTTTGTCAATGCCACTTCAGCGTCCCTCAACTTATCTACCACCAAACGTTTGAATAAATGTTATTTAGCCTCTTTTTACAAATATTTTTTTCGGTGCAATAAAGAATTTTAAATCACTCAATATTACTTTGGATCCTCCATTTTTTTTAGATCGCGAGCTTCCAGTCCTCGCCACAGCAGTGGTCGTCTCCAACGGCATCAGCCGCGTCATACCCTTACGCGAGATCCGCCAGCTTGGTGGCCGACGCAAGTGACTTAGCATACAAAGCCCAAATTCCATCGTAGAGCTTTTCGCGTGTTGCGTAATGTAAACGAATTTACATTATTTTTCATTCAAATAAAATTCGACCATAAATTAAGAATCGATGATAATGAATAATATAATCTAGATAAACAATATACCTATAAGATTGTTCGTTTGTTTTTATCCAACAAAGCGAAATTATATGCCGAATATGTTTCGCTTATCCATTTACAATTTATTACATTCAATTGAATACAGAAAATTCGTAAAGTTTAACAAAATTTTTCTATAGAGTAGACCGAGTTTTTAATTATTAACGATTTTACTTTAACCACGGTTAGACAAACGGTGGTTAATGGATGTCAAAATTGTGTTTGTTTTAGTGTTTAAAAATTAACGGCATCATTTTAGGAGGTAGAAATTTTTTAAATGCCTTTCCAATGATCTTAATAATTTAAACTAGGTGTTTTTAACATAATTTTATGTTCATAGAATAATATTTTATAAACTTTTTTAGGTGCGTAAGCTTTAAATTGTAACAGCTGAATTATGGTGCATTTTTCGTTGTAAAATCTAAATATTTATTTTATCACTGTTTTTCAATTTATTTTTTTAACATAAAAATTAAATTTTGGATATTTTATCAATTTAAATGTTTTAGTATTAGTAGGAATCGATACATTTACAGATGTGAATATTTCAAGGCATTAATACTCATAACGTTTATTTTTCACCATATTGTAAAACTAGCTAAAATATTTCTATTTCCAATTGAAATGATAAATAGATAAATTGGAAAAGAATTCAAAATAAATGTAATAAGCATAAGCAAAGGTTAATCCCTCAGGTTGTAACAAGGCCAGTACAGAACAACATAGAAATACTATTAGGATTAATTTTATAGTTCTTATAAGAAATTATAGAAATGTTAAAAATGGATATAAGATATTTTGTACAAATAATCAAAGGTTTGGGACGCGCAGGGTATGAACAGTAAACTTGTTTAAAAGTGTGTTTGCAATTCTAACACTAAAATATGTGAACTTTAGAAAAATGAACAATTAGATTACTAGGTATTATATTGTTTGTTCTATTTAACTTAACTGTACGGGTAATTTTGTCATTCCGTAGAATTAGCTATGACATAATAATTTATTGAAAAGACTGTATCTAGTTCCGTAAGTTTCACAGAATAAAGGATTTATTTTACATCGGACTTTTTCTTATAAAAAATCTATGTAGCTCCTAATAGAATCCATTAAAATACAAGGGTATATATGAAATGTAAATATAAATTGAAAAAAAAAATATATCATCATCATCATCTTAGCATAATTTATTCAAAAACAGGCCTATATAATAAAACGGTTCTACTGGAGATCCGAAACTCCTCCCAACTATTTGAAGGTAACCTCTACCAACTGAATCCTAACGCAACCGCTACGAAACTGTGACATCATGTCAATGTCACAATCATGATCAATGTCACATCATCTAGCCGATCTAGAAAGGGGATAACAGTATTTCGGATCCATTGAGGTCCCGTCCGGCAAATCACACATCACGTTTTGAAGTCAAGTCAAAATTTCTTTATCGAACATTTGCTTACTTTAATCTCTTATTGAACGCCGAAAACTACCACCGGTTCACTAATCTAAACCTGCAAGAACGGAGAAGAACCGGCAAGAAACTCTGTTGTAATATTATAATTATTTTTCATAAATTGTTCAACTATACAAATAATTATTTAATTACAAAAGTATTTAAGTATAAAATTAGCAGGAACCAGGGGAGTGCAGGTGCAGAGCAAGAAACATTAACTTACAACATGTAACTATGATGACTCCGTGGCACAGTTGCAAAAGTATTGGTTTCAGCGTCGTTGGTCGAGTTTTAGACTCCCACATGAGGCAAATGTTTGTGTGACCCACAGTCTGAGTGTTTGTCAACTTGAAGTATGTATTTATTACTATGGTCCTTACAACACAGGATAGTGTTAATAATGATATTTACTTTACTTTACTTACTGTAGTAAGGGGACACTGTTTTCAAAGGGATGAGTTTGAGTACAATAGATCTTTCTAGGTCACAGTGGTCATTGGCCTTACTACCAAACCGCTCCCACCTAAAATACTAAATACAAATATAGTTTGTTAATAGTCGAGCTATTGCCGTGATAGCTCGTTATCGGGGCGCTTTTAATTCATTATACTCGAGCATCCTGAGTTCGATACAAGGTGCCCGACCAACTTTAAGTGCTGACTTATCACGTATTCAGTCTTGAGGGAATACATCGCGAGGAGCCATACATGTTTTAACACTACCAAAACAATAACAAAAACAAAATATTTTCGAAGATGTGTGATGTCCGCCGCGTGGTGTACTGTGCAATATTACCTTCTGTACAGAGGCCTTTGCCCAGCCGTGGGACATATATAGGCTCACTAATTTTTCCTTTTCAACATGTAGTTCGCCACGCCAACGAGCACGGCGCAACACCCCGTATACACAATGTGCCCCCAGGTCCGAGGGTACCTTGACCGTCATCGATGTCACCTTCGGCCTTTCGACGGCCCATAGCCAACAATAACCTAGTTGTGTTATTAAATCCATGCCCACATGCGTGACTCTGCGTAGGTAGGGCATTTTTGTGCCCAATTTACGACGACACGCTCTTTAATACTAATTGATGGGACTACAAGTCTCCGTTTATTCGGCGTGAGCGCTGTTTTTTGTGTGTGTTCACATCGATTAGTCCGATCAAAGCTTACTTGCAACTATTTCACACCGGAATCTCTAAAATATCAAATTACTACGATTAATAATGGTATTGGGTACAAACATCAAATTGCACTTCAAATACTCGAATTGTGGCTGTCGAATTGCTTTGACAACAAGTAGCGACATCTTTTTTCAACCGTTGAGTACTAAATGAAATAATGTTGTAGCAAATCCTTATTTCCAAATAATGCCTTATTTTTTATGTGAAACGTTTGAACAAGTGGGCCTGGTTACCTTATTGGACGAAACGTTTAAATTTATTACTTCAACTTAACATCTGTGAGGCCGTGGCTCGGATGTGCCTGCCCATTCCTACAACAATACAAGCTTTTGAGTGGCCCCACAGCATCATATTTATATTGAATAAGGGATATATCAATTTCGAGTATTATTCAATAAACTGTCTACGATATACCTAATAACAAAACAAAACAAAAATACCGTCGAAAATGTAAAAAATCTTTAAATCTTTAAATTCATTGTGTTTTTTTTTTTCTCCTTTTTGTTATTATAATTACAATTAATTTTATTAGTTTAAGTAATAGTATAGAAACGTAATATGGATATACATGATAGCCCTTGTAAGAAAAAAATTTAAGTTTAGCCATAGCAGCTAACGCCATCTAGAGGTTACGTACATGAAGTTTTAAAAATAAATGATTTTGTTCATTAAAAATTAAACCGTGTATTCTGTAGAAATAAATACATCACATATTTATGATATTATCGTGTGATACATTATTTAAGTAGGAGTAGTGTTTCTATTCTAGGTAACTCAACATAAAAACCTTAAAGCAACTAAAGATATTTATAATATATTACTGTTTATGAAACAATCTGAATAAAGATAATATGAAACTTAAACTAAACATTTTGATTCTTGATGGTATAAAATGTGCTAATAAATAAACCATAGCATATAACATAACATTATACAATATATGTATAATGTAATGTAATGCTATTTATTAACTTTCAGATTTTACTTCTCTCCCATTGTATATTAAACAGGTAAGAATTTTTCTCATTTTTCTCATATTTAATACTTTGTTACTTAATTTTATCTGTAAAGGCTTATGCAATAATGCATGAATCATGTAAAATTGTTTTGTATATATTTACAGCTATATGTATACGAAGGTAAAAGACATATTATTTGAATAGAAATTTCTCCTGGATCCTGAAAAACATAACATCCTCCGCTCTCTATTACGGTTTAGAAACTAAACAACTATAACGTGCAGACCCACTTTTATACTGGTTTTGTATTGTATAGAGTCTGTAAAAAAGAACGAATGCTATCATAACTACTACATCGACACGGCTGCGTGCTTACATTAGTGTACGTATGCGCCTTTCACTCACCCAGACATGGAATTATCGGTGGAACAGTAAAACCATCGAGCTGCTTTTAACGGGATCAATTTTACTTAACCGCACATAGTTTAGATATTGTATGATTTGTGTCAAACTTAGGCAATCTTAGACATACAACGTTGTTGCAATTCATAATGATGAATTTTGAAATTCATTGTTGAAATTCATTTAAGAGAATCCTTTATGCGTGTCGTCAACCTATCGAGTATTTTTTTATTTAAACATTTATAGCAAAATTTTGTCCCTAGACTAACATTACAATATTAACAGAAATTTGTAATGACAACCTAGGCATTATTACTTACGCTATGAAATACAGTTTAGGACAAAAGTAAAAGAACTTTAAAAGAACATAGAGTCAACAAAATAAAATAGAATATGTCACTCCACATATTTCTATAGCCGCAATATTAAACTGGGAAACTTTCTTAACTACTACATTGATAATGCGTTGGTATGGGTGCCACTTTCACTCCTCACATTTTTGTTGTTTTGTTTCGTCGATGAGACGTATTTAAATGACGTTTTCAGTTATATCATTAAAACTTTCTCTTGGACGTCAGAGTACATGAAAAAATATTAAAAGTTAACAAAATAGCATGATTTTATAAAAAGTTAGTAGTGTGTTATTTAAGTTTATTTTAGAAACTATTTAATCTACGACGACGAATGTCAATTGATACATTTCTAGGAATTTTATCTCACTGCATATAATTAATGTCAACAAAAAGTTAGTTTTTACTGAGGCTGGTAATGAAAATATAGGTCTAGATATTATTCTAAAATTATCATGGTGACTGACATTTTAGTTATAAAGATAATTAAAATGTTCCCAAAGATTCATGACTGAGTCGAAAATCATAAAACAATTATCACTTTC